CCCCCCCCCCCCCCCCCCCCCCCCAAAAGTACCCGGTTTCGATTTCAAGTGAAAATGTTTTTCTGTATGTTGAGAATAAATTGCGATAGATCACAGGACAAATGTATCGAAGTTGATAAAACAATATTTCTAATGCCATTTTTCACTGATAATACAGCTTAAGGCCAATTTTTGAAGGAAATAGGCACTGATTTAAGACAGGACCATTTGTCTTGCATGTTGCTTCTCAAAAGTTGGACATGCAAGAGGTTTATTTATACTGGCGTCCACAGGAAAAGGAAAAACAAAAGTAGATTATAAAGAATTTGAATTTTCATCATAAGAATACGCTACAAGAAAGAGTTGTTGACATTGCATTCTCAAGAACAAGTAATATTAATTGTTTTTATGTTAACAACAATCATTAAATGACGGTAAGAAAAACTTATGTAAGCAAATTATTCTATCTTCTAATCAATTTCAAATTTCAGATTTAATAAATGATAGTAGAGTGTTGATATGTAATTAATTTCTTTCCATAGCTTCACGCTATGAAACACGTTAGTACAGAATGAGCAAGTTCCTGAAGAATGTCACCACTGGTCCCCACCCTGAGCCAGAGTATTCCAGTCCATACCACCCCAACCCAATTTATTTATCTAAGATCCAAGCAAGACTTAAGCAGGGCAAATACACATACGAGGTGCGATCGGAAAGTTTATAGACTGTGTCAATAGAGGGCAAACCGGATGTAGTACGAGCTTCTGCCTTTAGGGGGTGCAGCCTACATTCATAGTGAATCAGTGTGCCAGCCGGCATCATCGAATTAGCATTTGTTTCTTAGTTACGGGCGTTTTGGTAGTGCATTACACCGACCCTCCTGCGATTTCGGAATGGCGGATTTTCATGAACAAATCAAATTTTGCCAAAGACTCGCCAAAACGGCTACGGAAACCTATGAAATGCTAAAGCAAGCATTTGGGGAGTCCGCAATGGGTCGTGCACAAACTTTTGGGTGGCATTCACGTTTTAAAAATGGCCGAACCCCTGTCGATGATGACGAGCATTCTGGACGACCATCTTCGAGCACAACGCCCGAAAATGTTACGAAGATCGACGTCGTACCATCAACGACTTGTGCGACATTGTTGGGACCTGTCAGCTGATTCTAAAGGAAGAACTCCACAGGCGACGCATCCTGTCTGAGGACCAGAAGCAGAATCGACTTCTCGTTTGTCAGGAGCTCAAAGATCTTGCAAGAACCGACCCCAACTTCCTTTCTAAGCTCCGTGTGACTTCTTCCTCTTCCCAAAGATGAAAATTCAGCTAAAGGAAAGGAGATTTGAGACGATAGAAGAGATTCAGGCAGAATCGCAGATGGTGCTTGACAGGCTGACAAAGAAAGATTTCCAGGGATGCTTCCAGGCTTCGCAGCGGCGCTGGGATCGTTGTGTTCACTCCCAGGGGAACTACTTCGAGGGTGATGGATGAATTTAATACCTGAGATAAGTGCACGGGTTTTTATACGCGCAGTCTGGAAACCTTCCGATCGCACCTCGTAT